CCTGGCGGCTTGCTTTCTCACTTTCCCTCCCTCTGTCTCTCTCACTCTGTCCCTCTCTGGTCAAATAAAAATAAATAAATAAATAAAGTTAAATAAAGTAATTCTTAAAAAAAAAGTTTATTAGTAATTATTTATTTTATGACTTGTAATAATCAGTGTTATAATTTGTTCATAAAATTCTTGTGGGTGGGACCAGCAGTTGGTGTAATGGCTATGTTGCTGGACTCCCATGTAGTTGACTGCAGTTTAAGTCCTGGACCCGGTAGCTTAAACTCACGACAGGTGTGTGTGCGTGCGTGCCCAAAATCCCAGGAGGAGAATGGGGGGAAAGGGATTGCAGCTTGGCCATCCCCTTAGGGGGTGATATCTCACTTTCTGTCTCTCCGTCTCTTTTTCTGGCGAGTGCATGTGCCCTATAGCAAAAACCTCTCAAAAAACATTTAAAAATTCTTGGGAGTCTCAGATTAGCAGGGAGGATATGGGAGGTGTGTCTGGGAGAGATGGCATTACCACATGTGAAAGGAAAGGTGGAAACCAAGAAGCCCTTCTCAGTGCTTAACCCCCTCGGTGTAGGTCTGTGGACGGCCTGCTGAGTGCTCGCAGGAGGAACGCCCACGTGCCCCTCTGGAACTACACAGTGCTGCGTGGCCAGGTACGTGACTTCAGGACGATGAGGTACGCGTCGACGGCCGCCGTGAGTGTGGCCATCTCACTGTCAGCACATTCCTCTGCCTCCCAGGGTCTGTCTTGTCTGTGCTTCCTTTGCTGAAGAGGTAGTCTGGCTTTTCCATTTTTCCCATCTCCTGCATCTCCGAGTTCTCTCACCTTGTCATGGGAAGAACAGAGCTTTGTCCCTGCTACAGCGGGAACCCCGTGGAAGAACTGCGTCTGGGCTTCACGTCTTCTTCCTTGGTGCTGTGTGTGCGTTGGATGGTGAATATCTGAGAGAGTGACTAGCGGAATGGACCTGTTCTTCCTTCAGTCCTGGACTGAGATCAGCATTTATTTTATTCCTGACTCTCTGAAAAAGAACGCTCCTTTTCGTTTGAACTTTTCCTTTGCATCTTGTGTTTGCAGATCTTCATCGTGTACTTCATTGCGGGTGTGAAAAAGCTGGATGCAGACTGGGTTGAAGGCTACTCCATGGAATACCTGTCCCGGCACTGGCTCTTCAGTCCCTTCAAGTGAGTGGCAGGTAGGGCAGAGGCCTCAGTGAGGCCCAGGTGCAGGGCAGGGGCTCATCTCCCTGCCGGGCGTGAGTTTGCTAGGTGCCCTCGGTCCGCTCAGCACCCTGGTCAGCAGGAGGCAGCGTCAGGGAGAGCAAGGCCTCGAGGCCTGGGAGCCAGTGAGAGACATAGTAGAGCTGGGCAAGAAGGGGAGAGAAACAGAAGAGGGAAAGGAAAGAGCAGGACCAGTGAGTCAGTGCCCTCCGCAGTTGCCCGAGGTGGGGCCTGTCCTTGCCTTGTCACCCCAGCCTCTCCGCAGGGTTCCTCAGCCAGCATGCCGAGATGGCCGTCACTGTTCCCGCTCTGACAAAGCCACTTATATACCAGCTCTGCAAAACAGAGGTTCATTCACCTCTGGTTTCTCTCTTCCTCTTCTTATTTATTTTTTTAATTTTTTAAATTTGTTTCGGTAGGGCATGTGCGCTCACCAGAGAGGTACAGACAGTGAGAGGGAAAGTCAAAATCATCCCCCGGGGAGGTGGCCATGCTGTAGTCTCTTCTCCTGCGTTCTCTTCTTGGGATTCTGGGCGCACACACACATGTGCCTGGTGTGGTTTTCAAGTCGCCGGGTCCGGGATTCGAACTGCAGTTGGCCATGTGGGAGTCCAGCACCTTAGCCACTTTATCACACGCTGGCCCGCCTTTCTGTCTTTCTCTTGTTTTCCTCGGTTCTCTTTCCTCTTCCTGTTATTTTCAGTTCCTGAAGTTCCGTCTCATTGTTATGTTAGCCAAGCAGTCACCATTTTTTTTCCTTAAATTGTCAGAGGGGGTGTGTACTCACTAGAGAGTGAGAAAAGGAGAGGGAAAGCAACCTCTCTTGGGGTGTGGTCACACCACAATCCCTTCTGCAATTTTCCATTCTGTCTGGATTTGGGGCATGCATGCACCCAATATGGCTTTCAGGCCATTGGGACCAGTACCCCAACTGTGTGCTTGGCCACGTGGTGTCTGCCTCCCTTAACCACCAGGCCCCAGTGCTGTCCCCAAAGCATTCACCTTTTTTTAGAGAGAGTTTTCTTGTAGGGCATGTGTGCTCGCTGGGGAGACAGAGACAAACAGAAAGCAAATAATCACCCCCAGGGGGGATGGCCACACCACGGTCCCCTCTCCTCCATTTTTCTCTTAGGATTTTGAGCATGCACACACACACAGCCGGTGTGAGTTTAAGCCATAGTCTAGGTCTCGAACTGCAGTCGACTATGTGGGAGTCCAGCAATGTAACCGTTATACCATCTACTGGTGTCAATATTCACCTTTTAATATTTCTTCTCTCACGATCTCAAGGAAGGACCCATCTCCCACAACACCCACACTTCTCAAATTTGATCCTAGGAGAGTGGCCCTTATTTGTGTTTTACATATGACATGTTGAAAACAAAAGGACACTGGGACCAGCAGATGGCGTGGTGGTTAAGGTGCTGGACTCTCCCATGTGGCCAACCACGGTTCGAGTCCTGGACCTGGTGACTTGCTTTCTCACTTTCCCTTTTTCTCTCCCTCTGTGTCTCTTTCTGGTCAAATTAAAATAAATGAATGAATAAATAAAATTAAATAAATAATTCTTTAAAAAAAGAAAAGGACACCGAAAGTGTGTGATGTCAATGGGTTGAGAGACTGCTAAGTGTCTTCATGGGTGGATTAGGTACTGTAGGTCCACTTACCCGCCCACTGGGGTAGTCCTTTGGCAAGGACGGAGTATCCAAGGCATGTTGGTGCTGTGAGGCACCATGACTGTGCTATGAATGCAGCCTTCTCTCCCCTGGTGGCCTCATTCGGTATCCCACGTCTTAAAAGACTGCGGGGTTTGAGCACATGGCATAATGGTTATGCCACTGGACTCCCACATAGTTTGCTGCCGTTCAGGTCCCAGACCCTGGTGACTTGAGACTCATGCCAGGCATATGCGTGTGTGTGCCCGAAATCCTGAGAGGAGAATGGAGGAGAAGGGATTGTGGCGTGGGCATCCCCCCAGCGGGGCGATTTCTCGCTTTTTGTCTCTTTCTACCTTTCTGGTGAGTGTATGTGCCCTCTAGCAAAAACCTCTCTCTAAAAAAATCAAAACTGTTGTGGGAACTGCTGCCTCTCCTGGGTTCTCTGGTGGGTACGGGGTGACCGCCACTCCTGTGTCTGCAGGCTTGTGCTGTCCGAGGAGCTGACCAGCCTGCTGGTGGTGCACTGGTGCGGGCTGCTGCTTGACCTCTCGGCTGGTTTCCTGCTCTTCTTTGACGCCTCCAGACCCGTCGGCTTCCTCTTCGTGTCCTACTTCCACTGCATGAATTCCCAGCTCTTCAGCATTGGTCAGTACCTGTAGCAGGGTGGGAAACAGGCAGCACAGGGCTGCGGGGAGGGACTGGCCAGAGGCATTGTGTGGGAGCGGGAGTGGTCAGGGGAGCAGAAGCTAGATTGAGCCCAGTGCAGTCACTATGAAGTGGGAAAAGATGGGGGAGAGAGGAGCTGGCTTCTGGGCTCAGAGTGTGTAGTATAGGAGGGGTCTCTGGGAAGAACAAGTTCTCTGTATCTTAGAACTTCTTTCATTTGGAGTGGGAGAGGCTTCTTAGGAAGGGGTTAAGGACTTCACTTGAACCCCTGAGATGCTCATTTTCTCCCTCCTCCCCTAGGGATGTTTCCCTACGTCATGCTAGCCAGCAGCCCCCTTTTCTGCTCCCCTGAGTGGCCACGGAGGCTGGTGTCACACTGTCCTCAAAGGCTGCAGGAACTGCTCCCCCTCAAGGTTGCCCCTCAGCCCAGCACGTCCTGTGTGTATAAGAGGGGCCGGACCAAAGGTGGCCAGAAGCCAGGGCTGCGCCATCAGCTTGGAGCTGCCTTCACCCTGCTCTACCTCCTGGAGCAGCTCTTCCTGCCCTACTCCCATTTCCTCACCCAGGTCTGTAGGAGCCGCAGGTGTGCCCCAAGGGTGGGTATGGAAAGGGGCAGAGGTAACAGCAGTGGGGGTGGGGGGGTGGAGCCGGATGCAGCCCTTTCTTGGAGCATGGGTCAGTGTGTGAAGCATTATCTGATCCCCCCACCATGGCCTGCCTTCCCAGGGCTACAACAACTGGACCAATGGGCTGTACGGCTATTCCTGGGACATGATGGTCCACTCGCGCTCCCACCAGCATGTGAAGATCACCTACCGTGATGGGCGCACCGGCGAGCTGGGCTACCTCAACCCTGGGGTGAGGCGTCTGACGCTGACAGTTGACTGTTCTTCAGAGCCCCCTGGAGCTTGGGGCTCTGGTCTGGGCACACACTAAAATTTGAGACAAATTTGGATCTGCTCTGACCCTTCTCAAGAGCCAGAGTGAACCTTTTTTTTGTGGGGGTTAAGATAGGGCAGTGTCCATCACCTCCTTGAATTGAATTTAGGAAAGGTAAGTATCACTAGCCTAGTAGTGAAAAATTCCTCCCCAGAAAGTTGTGGGTTTTTTTTTTTTGTTTGTTTTAGATCAATTTATTTAATTTTATTGTTATTATTATTATTATTATTTTATTTGACCAGCGAGAGAAAAAGGAGAAGTAAGAAAGCAAGCCACCAGGTCCGGGACTCGAACTAAGGTCAACCATGTGGGAGTTTAGCCCCTTAACCACCACACCATCTGCCGGTTCCAAGTTCTGGGTTTTTTTTCCCATGCCAAAATGGGCAGCAGGCAGAGATCTCTTTGTGCCAGTGGCCATGCATGACCTGTCCCGGAAGTTGATGCCGATGAGGTGGGACTAACGTGGGGGTTTGGGGCAGGTATTCACACAGAGCCGGCGCTGGAAGGATCATGCAGACATGCTGAAGCAATATGCCACTTGCCTGAGCCGCCTGCTTCCCAAGTACAATGTCACTGAGCCCCAGATCTACTTTGATATTTGGGTCTCCATCAATGACCGCTTCCAGCAGAGGTGGGCAAGGGGAGCAGAGATGGGGGAAAAAATGAAGCATAGGCTCTTTTAATTACAGTGAACAGCCCAGGTGCTCTGTGTTGTCTTGCTTGAAAGGTTGTCCTGTTAGTGCATGTCCCCATTGATCCGGTTGTGGGCATAGCTGGTTACTTCCAGCAGGGGGCACCATCATCCAGGAGAAAAGTGAGCCAACTTTTTTCTTTTAGATGCTGTTAACACAATGCCTTCTCTGGTAGCCACTAACCCCCCATTCTTCCCAGTGCTCCAGAATCTCTTTTCCCTTTTCTCTCGGCCCTGGACTGGCAGTAACATGCTGAGAAAAGGTCATTTCTTCTCTCTGAAAACCCTGTTCCCCCCCCTGGGAATGATGGAAGAAACAGAACTGGGAGTTCTGGTGGGTGGGTGACTGTGGCCTCTTTAGAACATGGTTTTCTTTCCTAAGGATTTTTGACCCTCGTGTGGACATCGTGCAGGCCACTTGGTCCCCTTTCCAGCCCACGCCCTGGCTGCAGCCACTCTTGATGGACCTGTCTCCCTGGAGGGCCAAGTTACAGGAAATCAGGAGTAGCCTGGACAACCACACCGAGGTGGTCTTCATTGCAGACTTTCCTGGTGAGGAGGAAAGTTAAGTGTGGCTTTGCTGGCTTTTCTTCCTGGCTTCCTCGGCCAGGGACATTGCATATGGGGGTGGGGGAGAGGACACTACTGGGGAGGGATTTTTTTTTTTTTGGAGAGGTTTTTGCTATAGGGCACATGTGCTCGCCAGACAGAGAGAGAGAGAGACAGAAAGCGAGAAAACACCCCCCAGGGGGGATGGTCACGCTGCAGTCCCTTCTCCTCTATTCTCCTCGGGATCTTGGGCACACATGCACACGCGCCCGGCGTGAGTTTTAAGCCACCGGGTTCGGGACGCAAACCGCGGTTGACTACGTGGGAGTCCAGCGACATAGCCATTACGCTAACTGCTGGTTCCCTGGGAGGGATGTTTTGAAACCTGGGGAAGGGGTGATGGTGAAGGCATGGCTGGGAGTGATTTGCCTAACCATGGGGTAGGCTGGTGAACTTTGTCTCTTCTGGCAGGGCTGCACTTGGAGAATTTTGTGAGTGAAGACCTGGGCAACACTAGCATCCAGCTGCTGCAGGGGGAGGTGACTGTGGAGCTGGTGGCAGAACAGAGGAACCAGACTCTTCGGGAGGGAGAGAAAATGCAGGTACTTTGCTAGGATTAACAATGGCAGAAAGTTTAGATGAGCAGGGACTAAAATTGCATGCCATAACAATAATGCAGTGGGGATCCAAGCAAGGCCCTCGTCTAGGACATGATCAGCCACCATCAACACAGAATGGGAAGACAGATGCCAGAAGGGGTCAAGCAGGGAGCCAATACGCTGACTAGGGAAAGGTTGGAGAGTGAAACGAACCCACTTCTTCCCCCTTTGTCAGTTGCCCGCTGGTGAGTACCATAAGGTGTACACGGTGTCGCCTAGTCCTTCTTGCTACATGTACATCTACGTCAACACCACAGAGCTCGCGCTGGAGCGAGACCTGGCGTACCTCCAAGAATTAAAGGAGAAGGTGGAGAATGGAAGTGGTGAGTCTATGAAGATGTGGGCTGAGATAGCCCCAGGTGTCAAGAAGTCAGGGTTATAAATGAGGATCTAGCCATCGAAGAGTGAACTCGAAGCCTCGAGCTGGTGGAGGGGCCGTTCTGAGCAAAGAGATCCACCTCAGTGATTCTGCTTTTTGCTGTCTTCCGGGCAGAAACAGGGCCTCTGCCTCCAGAGCTGCAGCCTCTGTTGGAAGGGGAAGTGAAAGGGGGCCCTGAGCCAACACCTCTGGTTCAGACCTTTCTTAGACGTCAGCAAAGGCGCCAGGAGATAGAACGCCGGAGAAACGCCCCTTTCCATGAACGACTCCTCCGCTTCTCATTGCGAAAGCTCTATGTCTTCCGCCGCAGGTAAGTCTCAGGGTAATACTCGTTATTGCCGTCAGATGTTTGCAGTCTTGGTCACTTGTCCCTGGTAATGGTAACACTACAGACTCCCAGGATAGGACAGTCTAGCTCAGTCTTTTCCTGTCCATCTTTCTCTCATTTAATGGAAGAATAAGTGGCCCCATGTCTGATGGCCTGCTGTCTGGTTCTGCCTCAGCTTTTTTTTTTTTTTTTTTTTTGAGAGGTTTTTGCTATAGGGCTCTTGCACTCGCCAGACAGACAGAGAGAGACAGAGAGACAGAAAGTGAGAAATCACCCCCCAGGGGGGATAGCCATGCTGCAATCCCTTCTCCATTCTCCTCCTGGGATCTTGGGCATGCATGCAGATGCGCCCAGCCCTGGCGTGAGTTTAAGCCACTGGGTCCAGGACTCAAACCGTGGTCAACTACATGGGAGTCCAGCAACATAGCCATTACGCCACCTACTGGTCCCCACCTCAGCTTATCTTTTACTTCCTGGATTTCTACTCTAACTCTGGAATCCTCTACCACACTATATTAAGAGTGGAGTGCCCTTGTAGTGGGACATGGAGGGTCACTGGGGAAAGATTATCATACATGCCTGAGTAAGAGGAGTTAGAACCTAAGGGATTTGGCTGGAATTATGTTGAAACAGAAGTTTGGACTCCGTGGTCTTTTTTCTATTTTTCAGCTTCCTGATGACTTGTATTTCACTGCGAAATCTGGTATTAGGGCGACCTTCCCTGGAGCAGCTGGCCCAAGAGGTGACTTATGCAAACTTGCGACCCTTTGAGCCAGTTGAAGAAAGTCCTTCAAACACAGATTCTTCAAATCCTAATCCTCTTGAGCCACATTCTGATCCTATCCACTCAGAATTCTGAGGGGGGCCTCTTTGGTATAGCTATGGCAACAGTGAGTCACAGGCTCATTACCTATGCAGTGGACAATAATTTGAAAAGACTGGCTCAAAGGGCTGTGTGAAGTCAGTTGGAATCCACATGGCCAGCTATGTGGTTTGAGTCCTGGACCCAGCTGCTTGAAAAACATGCTGGGAGTGGCATGTGCACTTGCAAGCATGCCCAGAATCCTGACGGAATAGAGGGATTGCACTATGACCATCTGCCCTTGGGGGTGTTTTCTCACTTTCCCTCCCTAGCAAATTAAAAAAGAAAAAAATTATCTCATTTTTAAACTTTTTTTTCCCTGTGTCCAAAGCTCTTTTTAATTCAGATGATAGCTTAAAGCAACCAAGGAAATAAATAAAGCAAGGAAAATTTTTATCAACCCGAGATTGAGAGACCAGGAGGTTAGAAGCACAATGTGAAAATGTTCTCCAAAGATATAGGGATGAGTCAGGTTTAAAATGACTAGATCTTCAGGAAAAGAGATTGAATGTACCATGATGAAAATAAAAGCTAACCATTTCCAAGTGCATGCACTGTGTGAAGCACTGTACCTGCACTGTCACATTTAATCCTTAATAGCCATTTGCCTCACTTTACAGTTGGAGAAACTAAGGCTGAGAGGTGAAATAAGTTGCCCAGAGACATACAGCTAGTGAGGGATGGATTCATGGTTTGAAATTAAGTCTGTTTGACTTAAGGTCCATACTCTGTGGCTTATAATTTTCAGAATCATTGACAGTTTTAAGTCTGAAATAAGGCAGCTTTTATTTGTTTTCATAATTAGAAGTATGATTAGGATGGTGATCAGGTTTTGAATGTATACAAAATAATTTTATCTTCACTACAATTTTGTTTTTTTGTTCCTGTTATCTATACAGCCGGTAGGTTTTTCACTAGCAATAGTCAGAACAGTACCATCAAAATGAAATGTAAGGAAATTTGCAGATGAGCACTAGTATTATTTAAAGAATAGGCTTTAGTCAGGCCAGCAGATAGTGTAGTGGTTATGTCACTGGACTCCCACATGGCCAGCCCCGGTTAAAGTCCCGGACCCAGTGGCTTGAAAATCATGCCAGGTGTGTGTATGTGCATATGCGCCCAAGGTCCTAGGAGGAAAATGGAGAAAGGATTGCAGTGTGGCCCCCATTCTGTTTCTCTCCAGGGAGCGCATATGCCCTATAGCAAAAGCCTATTGAAAAAAAAGCCAGGCTTGGGGATCAGCAGGCAGTGTTGTGGATAAGGGTGCTAGATTCCCACATGGCCAACCATGGTTCAAGTCCCAGACCTGGTGGCTTGCTTTCTTGCTTTCCCTTTCTCTCTCTCTAGTGATATAAAAAAAACTAACAACAAATGGAATTAAATAAACAATTCTTTTTAAAAAAGCCAGGCTTAGTATATGTATTCTAGCCTTTGGTGAGCACAGGTGATGTAAAGAACCAAACTTGGTGAAGGATTAGTGTTTAGACAACTTTACAGGTTTGGATGTAAAAGGGTGATTCAGCAAACTCCTGTTAAATAAAAATTCAAAGGGTTGAAATGGAGTTAGGAATGCAGAATAATAAAGGACCCCTGATCTGTGAGCTCATGGCCTTTGTAGCACACTGGCAATCTCAGTAAGTTCTAGGATTGCTTTTCTATAGGCTTCTCAAGGTATTTTCCTTAAGCAGCTGACTTCACTGTACACACCATATGATCATACCTATTTGGTAATTTTAAGGATTATTTTAATTTTACTAGTATTTCCTAGTTAGAGAGGCAAGTGAGAAAGGAATCCACCAGATTCAGGACTTGAACTACCACCATTGGCCATGTGGGAGTCCAGCGCCTTTAACTACTATGCCACCTGCTGGCCCTATCCAGTAATTTCTAATGTTGCTTAGCTTTCTTTCCTGTGCCCTGGACCTATGGATCTAAGTTCCACTTGCTTATCCCATAGTGCCAGTCTGTCCTAAACTCAGATCTGCTTTCTTAGTGACTACTAGCTCTGTTGTATTTTGATCAGTGGCTTGTCTTAGACCCTGCCAAATCCTATCAGTTGTTTCTTGCATACTTCTTTAATCTTTTTGTCTCTACCTCTTTCAGCCTTTATATTGGAATTTAGTTAGGGATACATCAATGCAGGTCTACCATGTTTAGCTGTACAAGTTGGGTCCTAGTAAGGGCTCCTACTGAGGCAGCCAAGTGGGTCTGGTGGGAAATCACTGTTCAATTCATGAGGTGTTATAAGCTAGTGATGGTACCCAATGTGATACAAGGTGCCCTGAACTCATTTTTAAGAATGGATACATGGAATTTCTGACCCTTTTGCAGCTCTTCTTTCACAGTAACAGTTATACCTTGGTACTATTTATTTTGCAAGTTCAACTATTTCCTCCTCCCTAACCTTCAGATTTGATGGGTAAGAAAGCTGTTAGAGAAAAGTATGTGCAAGGCAAGAGGTAAAACAGAAAGCAAGAAATCATGCTCCAAGGGGGTGGTCACACTATAATCCCTTCTCTGTGGGTTTTGGGCATGCATACACATCTCCAGCATGAGTTTCAAGCCACCAGGTCCACTTGAACCAGTCAACCATGTAAGAGGTCCAGCACTGTAACCACTATGCCATCTGCTGGCCCCATTACTTTCTTAATATAAAGAATGCCACTCTCCAAACTGTTCCATGTACCACCTCTAACCCATTTTCTGAGGAAAACTGGGGTAGGGCAAGATGAAGGTGCTCATGAAAATTTGGTACATTGTTTCACGTAGTTGGGTTATTCACACTGCAAGAAGGATCAAGACCTGCACAACTGCAGCTGTTCTGGGATCGGGCTATCAATGTCCTTTAAGCTAGGAGGCTTTAGTATTAATCTATTTTCATTCTAGCCCCAGCTTTTGTCCCAGATTAGGTGTCATCTCCATCTGAAATGTTTTGGAATGGCAGGTTAAACACAAATCTTAACCTAAATTTCATTTATAATCGCCATTTCCTTCTCCAGCACACCTTGCTTCTTTACCTACTTGTAATCACGTCACACCCTGTTGTTCCCCGCCTTCACTCCTTTACTCCCGTTCTTCTTCCTTCCTGGTTTCGTTAATGTTCATCCACCTTTATTATGTTTAGGATGCTTTCCCCCAGGCTGGGCAAGACATTCTTCTTAGCCTGCAAACTCCTTTTTTACCTACTTTGAAAATGGTTTATTATCCTCGGGTATGTCCTGTTTCAATATTTAACCACGTTTACTTGTAGTGGATCGGCATCTAGTGCAGAATATAGGTTCCCACGTTCGTGAATCATTATTAGTTTCCTGACAACTCCCAACAAACTTCAGTTTTAGGCCTCCAACCAAATAGCAGGTATTTGAGGGCTCTTACATGTACAATAAGCCAACAATCTAGAACCAGTTAGTATCACTGATGTGGGTGGAAACCTGTGCCAAGTGGCTCTTGTTCAAGACCAGTCCAACTACCATAAATGAAACTTCTAGAAACCAGCCTTTTCACTGTAATTGCTTATAAATTTCACCTGTCTTTTAAGGTAGATTGAAAACTTGCCATTTTCTTTAATGGTTTTTAATACCTGCATCATTACACCCAGTATTACAGGTGTATTATCAAAGACATTAAATAAGGGCTAAAACAGCCAAAACTAAGTATTACCACTTTCCAATCAATGTTTTCAAGCCTTGAATCTTAAAGACTATTGGCAATGGGTTGTCCATGCACTCGAATTCTGGCCTATGTGCTGACTAGAAAGCAGTGCTGGACAAACATGATAACGCCTTATTTTTAGTGCCAGAATAGAATTAGACTTCAGTGGCTGGAGAAACATGCTAGGTATGTGTGCCCAAAATCCTTAGAGAACTGAAGGGATTGCAGTATGGCCATCCCCCTCTGGGGCTGCTTTCTCATTTTCTCTGGCAAGCATATATACCCTACAGCAAACTTAAAAATATCTGTAGAATGTTTTCAGGTTCTATTCATACCAAAGCACTTTTAAAGAATAAAGAACACAGTTAAGGTAGAACCTAGCATTTTATTTAGATCTTCATTAAACTGTTGGAATTGAGAACCAGACATACGTAATAAACCTCCAAAAATAGATCCTGAAAGGCACTTTCTGCTTAGGGCAAGCAGTCATGGAATAAGCATGTAAACAAGCTGGCTTCTCTGTACCACACCAGCCAAGTCAGCTTTCTCCATGGCCAGCTGCACCAGCTCTGCCCTCCCTTCTGTTAACACCAGCCAGACCCCCTGTAGGACTAACCCAAGGTTTTTCTGTAGGACACCTTGGCCTACCTGGGAATGCTGGAAACATGTTGTTAAAGGAATCATGGTGTTGAGAGAAAGAAAAAAATCTTTTAAAAGCTGCCATCTGAGGTGATGGCTTCTCTGTACTTACGCCATACCCCAGAATACAATAAATAAGCAATTAGAAAATGTTCAAGTATGAAGGGATTTCCTCCTCCCCGCCAAAAGCACTGCTCTCTGAAGGAAGCTGGTTTCTCTGTAGCTACACCAGCTGTTCAGAAAGCTCATTGGACCTGGTTTTGAAAATAAAACAAAAGTTAAAACCCTGGGAGGAGTTATTGTGCAGTGTGGCGTACTCGGTCTTTCTTATAAAGAAAAAAAAAGTTATCTGGTACCAAAGTGTGCAACCTACAGACCCTCAGGTACTGCCCTGTGACTTCTCTGTATGACATCACAGGGTGCCAAGTGCCTGTTTTTCTAGAGCTAGGAGTTGGTAAGGTTTGGCTAGTGCTGAAACCATGCATAGGATTGGTTTACTAAATAAAAACCTTATTACGTACGTCCTCCAAAAGACAGCTGAGAGTGGAGAGATTTTGATTTGGTGCTGTTAGAAGTGGCAATTAAAGAGCATAAGCACCAGGGAGATGGTTTAATGGTAACTGCCTTTCCTTTTTTTTTTTTTTTTTTTTTAATGTCAGGCTAGAGCTCCAACTGGGAACTTGCTTTACATGCAAGATTGATTGGATAAGGAACACTCCCTGACAAACCTACATAATTAGAAATGGATCAAGTTACAGGGAGGATAAGGGGAAGGCTTCACATTCATAATAAGAGCTCAAGACATTACAAATTCATGCTGACAGGGCTGTGGCATTGCCAGACAGAGGCTATAGTGGAACTACAGATACTTTACGTGCACGTTACAAGGACATCTCCAGCATCTGGTGGGAAAGTCAATGCATTTAAGACTTTGGAGGGTTGGGTCGATAGGGCACAAAGGTTAAATTTCAAAGCATTATTTACTACAGTGTAGTTTGTTTCTAGGCAGTTACATGGATGACC